TTTTTCACACCAAAAATCTATCAAAATAAAAATCCATTTCTACCTTAACAGGTCAATGCCAGGTGCTGAATGTCTTATCAAATCAACAATATATGTTTGAAACTCGGGGTTGAATGAAATCCTAGTGAATTGACTAGTTTGTAAGTGCATGCAACATTATTTTAAAGTAAGAACCACCACATACCAAATGAAAGGGCAAATTAATGCATTCATCTTTGTTCATATACCATTAAAGGTTAGCCCAGATCTCAAAATCAAAAATTTTGTCTGAATAGTAGGTTTCCTGAAAATCCAACCTGTATCATTAAGAGATGATTTTAGGAAATTCTTGCCAACAGAATAATTGTAATGATAACTGGTTGAATTAACTTCGGTATTGAGTTGTCAAATGAACAAAAGAAATTTAATTTATCTTGGTGAAATTTCTTCTATTCCTCTATCATGATGGTCCAACTTGTGAAAACTTTGAAGATGTATACAGTGTTGTATTGTTTAATTCAACAGTTTAAAAGATGTGCAGGGGCTAAATTGCTTGTAGTGTTCATATATGTGCAGGTTAGGTGGATTGGCCATGGGAAATGTGGGATTAAGGGGATAGGGTAGGGGCTGGGACTGGGTAGGATGCTCTTTGCAGGGTCGGCATGGACTCAATAGGCCAAATGGCTGCCTTTCGCACCGTCAGGGTTCTGTGGCTCAGTGGTTAGCACCGCTGCTTCACAGCGTCAGGGACCTGGGTTCAGATCCACCCTTGGGTGACTGCCTGTGTGGAGTTTGCACATTCTCCCCGTGTCTGCGTGGGTTTCTTCTGGGTGCTGTGGTTTACTCCCACGGTTCAAAGATGTGCAGGTTAGGTGGATCAGCCATGCTAAATTGCTCAGTGTCCAGAGATATCTAGGTTAGGTGGATTAGACGTGGGAATTGCAGGGTTACAGGGATGGCGGGGAGGCGGGTGGTGATTCTGGGTGGGATGCTCTTCGGAATGGGCTTGTTTCCACACTGTAGGGATACTATGAAATGAGATCTATATGTCAGTGATCGTTTTCTCCTCTTCTAGTTACTGATGCTAAACCTTTATTGGTGCCAAATACTTCAAAAAAAGTATTGGATGTGAAGCATTAGTACAATTGAAAGGGTCTTATTCATGAAACATAGCAATTGGCAGAAATAAACAATCAGGAGTGTTCGTTTGCACAGATCCAAAGATGTTATCAGAATTAACATTCCACAGTGACCAGTTTTCCTGTTTCTGGGTTTGGCTTTGATTATTTGGTACTGGCAGCTAGTACTTATATTTCTTTGGCTTCAAGGTGCACCCTCAAGATTTATTTAATTTATCATAAGACTAACACTTACTTGGGATATAGTTGGAGTGAATGCTGGGTTGTTGGGTGTCATGTTTCCAAAGTCTCGTCTCTTCTCCGGCCATTAATGAGGACAGAAATTATTTCATGGGGTATCCTTACCTGGAACACTCGATACCTCACACTGTGTATCTGCTACATCTGTACAATTCTGTTTGATGTGAGGAAGTCATGGTCGTTCTTCAGTTGTAGTTGAGGTCAGAAATAAGATGACACCAGGTTACAGTCCAATAGGTTTATTTGAAATCGCATTTGGGGTTGCATAACTATTTAGCATGAGGGAGTCTCGATTTGGTGGAGCAATTTGTCTGGTTAATTCCAATAATGAACAAGACTCCCTCATGCTAAGTAGTTACATGGTTTCAAATAAACCTGTTGGACTATAACCTGATGCCGTCTGATTTCTGACCTTGTCCACCCCAATCCAACACTGGCACCTTCACATCAGTTGTAGTTGAGGAATGTATTTTACTGTCAATAACTGGTTGGTGGTGGCGTCCTTTCATGTTGGGAAGTTTTTACATGATGACATAAATTTGTGAACTTGATTACCAAGGTTAGATCACGTGGAATCCAGAGAGAGTTAGTCATCTGGATACAAAGTTACCTTGAAGGTAGGAGTTAGAGGGTGATAGTGGAGGGTTGTTTTTCAGAGTGGAGGCCTGTGAGCAGTGGTGTGCAGCAAGGAATGGTGCTGGGTCCACTGCTGTTTGTCATTTACATAAATGATTTGGATGTGAATATAGGAGCAATGGTTAGCAAGTTTGCTGAAGACAGCAAAATTGGTGGTGTGGTGGACAGTGAAGAAGGTTATTTCTGTGCAATGGGACCTTGATCAGATGGGTCAATGGGCCAATGGGCTGAGGAGTGGCAGATGGAGTATAACTTGGATAAATGTGAGGTGTTATATTTGGTAAGGCATATCAGGGCAGGACTTATACAGTTAATGGTAGGACCCTGAGGAGTGTTGCTGAATAAAGGCACCTCGGGGTGCATGTTTGTAGTTCTTTGAAAAAATGGAGTCACAGGTAGACAGGGTGGTGAAGAAGGCATTTGGTACACTTTTATTGGGAAGTGCATTGAGTATAAGAGTTGGTTAGGACATTGGTTAGACCACTTTTGGAATACTGTTTTCATTCCTAGTCTCCCCGCTATACGAAAGCTGTTGTGAAATTTGAAGGGTGCAGAAATGATTTGCAAGAATGTTGCCGGGGTTGACTGATTTGAGCTATAGGGAGAGGCTGAATAGGCTGGGGCTATTTTCCCTGGAGTGTTAGAAGTTGAGGAGTGACCTTAGAGGTTTGTATAATTAGAGGGGTACGGATAGGCTGAATAGCCAAGGTCTTTTTCCCAGGCTAGGGGAGTCCAAAGCCAGAGAGTATAGGTTTAGGTGAGAAGGGAAGGATATAAAAAGGACCTAAAGGACAACTTTTTCACATAGATGGTGGTGTATATATGGAATGAGCTGTCAGATGAACTGTTGCAGGCTGATACAAGTACAACATTTAAAAGGCATGTGGATGGGTACATGAATAGGAATGATTTAGAGGGATATGAGCCAAATGCTGGCAAATGACACCAGATTAATTTAGGATATTTGGTCGACATGGATGCGTTGGACCGAAGAGTCTGTTTCCATGCTGTGCAATTGTGACTCTGCCTCTAAATACTTCCTATACTGTGGTTTCAGTTAGACAGAAAAGTGAGTTCTGGATGAGTCTCATCTAAATTTAATACTTACCAGAAATAATTCATCTAAATAACTCCAGTCATGACTTTAAAGATGCAAACTTTGAAACCGTCTGCTTCGCAGCAAGCTTAATGGAATTGGGAAGTTAAATCTTGTTAACTGGCGAGGCAAAAACTATTCACTCAAAGAAATGCTAAGTACTGTTCATGCTGGAGATCTGAAATAAACACAAAGTGCTGAATCATTGGACATAAAATGTTAATGCTTTTTGTCTTTGTGGATGCTACCAGACCTGAGTTTCTCCAGCGCTTACTGCTTTTTGGCCAAAATTATTGGTCATTTCTACACCATATAAATTTAGATTTAATCACTTGACCCCATCTATGTCAAGTTGTAAGCAAAGTTATGCTTAGTAATGCAATAATTTACATAAGATGATTTTAACATACAATTTGGCTGCCAACGGACTCACTGGGCAAACTTCCTACCCAACAGGAGCACTGGATAAAATTTGAAACAAGAATAACTGGCACAGGGATAGCCAAGAAATAGCTAACTCTGCAAAAGTTTAAGACTTAGCTAGGTTCTAGAGAGTGTAAATTTGTTCTTGATTTAAATAGCAAACCTATGTGTTGATTATGAAAACTCCAAATTGATAATGGGCAGCTTCTTGGCTGGGACAAATGGGACAAATTTTACAAATTCATGCCCCTTATTTGGAATAGTTGCTGTCAGGGATATCAGAATTTCAGAAACTAAATCAAAAACCCAGAGGACTGGAAGCATCTGTGGACGAAAGCAGAGTTCTGAAGATGGGTCATTGGACCCGAAACATTAACACTGCCTTCTCTCCAGAGATGCTGCCAAACCTGCTGAGTATTTCCAGCAGTTTGTTTGCTTCTGATTTTCAGTATCTGCAGTTGTTTTGTTTTTTAAATGTCAGAAATTCGGATGTGTTGAACTCTACAGTTTCATCCCTAAAGTAAATGTGAACTTTTTCTATCAGACAGTTGTAATACCAAAATTTCAATTGGCAACTTGTATTTCACGGAAACAATTGCCTTAGTTGATCATTTTGATTAACCCAGGCAATTATATGTTCTTTCGGGAAAGAGCCTCAACCAGACACAGTTTAACAATGTGTGACATTACTTCTTGCTAGTATTAAACCCAGCAGGGGAGAGTATTCATTGTTTCTTAAGGAAAGATCTATTTGTAAACTGAATAGTATACTTGCTCATACTTTAGGTTCTAATCTTGAATTGTCAATGCATGGTGGTATGGGCTATGACACCAGTGCTCAAGCTGACCTGAGATGACTGAGACTGTCGAATCCATTATAAAATTGTTCTGGTTTCTCTGCTATTTAGAAAGGAAGGAATGGTTACTTTCTGTCTTGTTTTTTGGTTGATGTTCAATTTGCAGTTACTGATTTCTTTCCAGAAGTGCTGCCCCTTTTTTTAAAACTTGTATTAATAATTTAAGATTGCACCTCCTTGGATCTCAGATTAATACTTTCAGTTGTTCCACTGAAAACAGTAAAGTATCAGTCCAGAGATGTGCAGGTTAGGTAGATTGGCCAAGCTAAATTTTCCCATTGTGTCCAGGGTTGTGTAGACGAGGTGGATTAGCCATGGTAAATGTGGGGTTACGCGGATAGGGTGGGGGGGGGTTGTGTCTGGGTGGGATGCTATTTAGAGGGCTGGTGCGACTCAGTGGGATGAATGACCTGTATCTGCACTGTAGGGATTCTATGATCATCATAGCATTGCATTTGAAAGACAACTTCTTGCAACGACATGACAGTGACTGATTTTCCCCAGTGCATATGAGAGTTATTCTACATATGGAGTTTGTACTTCAATTATGAAGTGCCAGTCCAAACTTAAACAAATTATCAAACCTAAGTATTGGTTGTATTAAGAAAAAATGAATTATTTGTTTTGTAGATTGAAATAAAGCTGAAGAAAACTGAAGCCATTCGTTGGGAAAAGCTGGAAGGCTTTGTCCCAGATGTAAAGCATTTTGTGCCAGGTAAGAGTTGGCTGAATTAGTTTTGTGCTGTACTTTTTAAACATATATGATCAATTCTTCCACTGAGGAAGGACATCAGGTTATTATATTTTCAGTGCCCTCCTAAGAATAAGAAAATATCAGTAACGTACCTCCAATAACCTATTTCAATTCTTCCTAATTTGAAAACTCTACTTAACAACAACTTTTTTTTATATTATTCTCCAGAAACAATAGTTGGGAAATTACAACTTGACCTTTGTTTCTAATTGATCTTTTTGATTTACTTTGAATTGCAATAGAATTTATTTCAGATCAATCTGTGTGCTTCTTTCCGTTCTTAAATTATATAACTTACTAGCCAGGAGGTCAGTGGTTCTTATTCATTCACCCTCTATAATTAGGTCATTGTTGTCAAAGAAAATTGCCTGATGGTGATATCTTTTGTTGTACAAGTATGTACCATATGCAGTAAAGTGCTCTCATACATTCTCCTCTCTTGCAATGCTGTTCATGCTATGGATTCTAACTTTATTTCTTTCTGTTGTTATGGTCCCTATGTATTGTTGGAGACTTCTTACCAATTAAAGAAAAATTCAGACATCCACTAATGAGCTGAAATCAATTATTCCAATATTTTACATTTTAAGCTAAAACAGAATTTAGGTGTATAAAAGTTAATTTACTACTTGACACATCATCATGTTAAAAACAAATATCCCTTCCCCCCCCAAGTTTTCCTTTACATGTGTTTTAAAAAAAAAACTTGAAAGTTCATTCACCTTCCTGAGACCAAACCATAGTAATGCCATGGGCCTCCAGAGTTCACTTCATTTTCTCCTCCGTGTTCCAGCTACTCCGAGGTCTGAAATTTCATGTGTTTCTTTCCATTAGCTCTTGATAATCCTCCAAACTTAGAAATGAAAGCGTTCTTCTCAAGCCTGAAGACTTCCCGGATCAAATAAAGCTTGGATTATGCAATAAGTCTGACTACTTTTGTCATAAGACAACCATCTTTCACTGTGAAGAGCACTGTAGATTTAATCTAACAGTTTCAAGCTAGACAAATCTCCCAGATTCATTCCTCCTCACTTAATCCAAACTGAGCTCGAACCCCATCTATGTTCCAAAGAGTGAATGATCAAATTAGTATTTTCTCTAAATGCAGGCGTGACTAATGTTTCTTTTAGTTTCTCAACTGAGTGAGCTGTGACAAGGCTATTTTCAAAAACGTAAGATTTGTCTTCAACACAACTTTTTGATTCTGTAACCCATATGAATAATTTATGTCCCTAATAGAATGTTACTGTTTCTCCAGATGCACAGCAAGGCACTCCCTTGTTGACCAGCTGTTTTAACGTTTTATCTCGGAACTACTCATGCAATTTGCATGTTTTATTGAAATGGAGACCACCAGGCTGTATTAACAAGCTGAATGACTGGTCATCCAGTGTTTAAAATTTTTTACACATCTACCTCCAACATTGTAAGATAAGCATAGGGTTATTTATTAAACATAACAAATTTGAGCTTATTTGATACATGTGTAAATTAGATACATATCAGTTTCTGAATCATGTTGCTATTTATCATACATTTAAAACGTTTTCCTAAAACTCAATGATGCTCTAAACTATGTATTATAAACTAGATATTAGCAGCATTCTTATCCTGGCAGTGACTGTGCTGTCTTACAGATCAGAACGCATTCATAATTTGCATCCTTGATCATGCAAAGTAATTGACTGTGTAGTTTTTAAAATTTTTTCTTTGCTAAAGAATTCTTCTCTTGCACCTTTGCATTGATAACCAAAAGTTAAATGGAATGTGACAGAGTATAACATTAGTCTTGCCAAATCATGTCAGCTGCTAGCTCCTGAGCTCAAAATACATGTCAAATGTAAATTGGTTTCAGTAGGATCTTTACCTTCCCTCCTCTCCCCTCGAATTCTTCTGTCGGTTATTTTAAATTGATACACTCTAGTCACTAATCCCTCTGCTACGGAAAATAAGTTTTCCTATCCTTTCTGTCCAGGCTCCCCTTAACTGTGCACACGTCATTCAAATCTTCTTTCTGCTGCCCGTGTTCCAAAGAAATCAGCCCACAATATTCAGTCTTTCCTCAGCTTTAGTTTTCCAGTTTTGACAACATCCTAAGTAATCTTCTCGATGTATTCTCTCATGCATTTACATCCTTCCTGTAACAAGTTGACCAGAACTACACATGAATACTCGTGATTCATATAGCCCCAGCATTTCCCCTCAGCTCTTACGTTATATGCCTTGGCTAATAAAAGAAAATAGTCTGTAGGTGGCCTTAACCACGTCATCATCCAGAATCTGTGGGCAAGCACTCCATGGTCCTTAACCTTCTTCAAGCATCTGAGTATCTTCCCGTTTGTTGTGTATTCCTTTTACTTATTTGACCTTCCCATATGCACCATCTGTTACCCCTCTGGGTTGAATTCTATTTGACATTTGTCTGCCCTCTGAACAATTCTGTTAATATCTCCCTGCGTTCTACAGCTTACATCCTCGCTATCAAGCATGCAGGAAATGTTTTTCACCTTTAAGCTTCTTGACTACACCCCTTTTATATTTAAGTCCAAATCATTAATATATGGCAGAGAATGCGGGGGACCACTTCAGAACTTCACTAGAAGCATGCTTCCAAATGCAGACTATAAAATCAGCATTACCTTTTGTTCCCTGCCACTGAGTGAATTATGTATCCAGTATGTGACATTTCCCAGGATTGTGCAGGCCTTTTTATTACTGTATGTGACCTTGTCAGAAGCATTGCTAAAAACTCATGTACATTGCATCAACTGCAATACCCTCATCAGTTCATCTTGTTACAAGCTCAAAAGATGAAATCCATTTAGTCAAACAGACCTTCCATTATTGCACTCATGTTGACTGTCCTTGAGTCCAGATCTAAGCAACAGATTATCCTGTCTTTGAGAATTGATTCCAATGCCATTATCAAGGTTAAACTGACTGAACTGTAGTTATTCAGTTTATCCATCACTCTTCATTTTTTTAAAAAAAGTACAACGTTAGCTGTCCTGCAGTCCTCCTGCAGCTGCATCCAGTGAGGATTATATGATGATGGTCAGATCTTCCACTTCTTCCTTCCTGGCTTCCTTTAACAGCCTGAGATGTATTTCATCTTGTTCTGGTGATTTATATGCTTCTAAGGGTGTTAATCCCCTAAATACTTCCCTTATCCCTTTGTTCATCACATCGAATGTTTCATGCTGCTGCTCTTTCATTCCTGATTCACTTTTGAAGTCAGATGCATGATGAACTTTACTTGTGACTTAAACTTCTGTGTAGCTTCGCTCACTGGCCACTTAACGGTTTTACTCGTTCCCTAGTAATTCCCTTCCTCTTGAACGGTCTGTTTCCGTGCTGTACGTCTCTGACTTACGACTCAATTTCTCTAATGTGTTGGGAAAACATCTTTGGGTTCTCTTGATTTTACTTGGTATTCAGGTAGGCAGGGTAGTGGAGAGGGCATTTGGCATGCTTGCTTTCATTGCTCAGTGTGTTGAGTATAAGAGTTGGGACATCATGTTGGAGTTATACAGGACATTGGTGAGGCCAGTTTTAGAATACTGTTCTGTTCTGGTCGCCCTGCTATATGAAAGATATTGTTAAACTTGGAAGGGTTTGGAAAAGATTTAGGATGTTGCTGGGATTGGAGGGTTTGAGTTATAGGGAGATGGTGAATAGGCTGGGGCTTTTTTTCCCTAGAGTGTCTGAGGCAGAGGGTGACCTTTATAGAGGTTTATATATTCATGAGGCATTTGATAGGATGAATAATCAAGGTCTTTTTCTCATGGTAGGGGAGTCCAAAACTGGAGAGCGTAGTTTTAAGGTGAGAGGGGAAAAATTTAAAAGGGACCTGAGATGTAACTTTTTCATGCGGGGGGTGGTGTGTATGGAACGAAATGCCAGTGGACGTGGTGGAGACAGGTACAATTGCAACACTTAAAAGGCATCTGGATGAGTATATGAATCGGAAAGGCTTATAAGAATATGGGCCAAATGCTGGCAAATGGGACTAGATCAGTTTAGGATATCTGGTTGGCATAGACGAGTTGGACCAAAGGATCTGTTTCCGTGCTGTGTGATTCTTACTCTATTTGTTGATCTGTTTGTTTTCCTAACTTTTCTTTTTGGTATCACCCTGCACTTGTTATACTCCCCTTGGCTTTCTGTTGTTTTACATTTGCCGTGCCTGATATAAGCTTTCTTTCTGTTGCCACATCTTCCCTGAATGTCAGGCATACAGACTGCTCTCCGTTTGCTCTTAATATATTCCCACCCTTTGTTGGACTTGATGTAGAAGCCAAATGAATTTCTTTTGAATGCACCTCAGGAAATCTGTTCGCTCCATGACTTTTTACATCTAAAATGTCCCATTTAATATTGGGATAATCAAAATCCCCTACAATCGTGTGGCTATTACAATTGTCAACAGTTTGCCAACATACATTTGGATGGAAGTTATGGAAAGTGTCACAACAGTGCTATCAAGCAACACTTGTACAGCAATAAACTGCTCGCTGATGCTCGGTTTTGGTTTCGCCAGGGCTACTCAGCTTCTGACTTGATTACAGCCTTGGTGCAAACATGGACCAAAAAGCTGAATCCAAGAGGTGAGGCGAGAGCATTTTTGATAACAAAGCAGCATTCGACTGAATGTGGCGTTAAGGAGTCCTAGCAAAACTGAAGTAGGTTGGAATCAGGAAACTCCACTGGCGAAAAGTCATACCTAACGCACAGGAAGATTGTTGAGCTTATTGAAAGTTAATCATCTCTTGGCCCCAGGGCATCACTCCATTTGTACCTCATGGTGTCCAGGCCCACCATGTTCTAGTGCATTGTCATTTATTTTCCCTTTGTTATCAAGTCAGAAGTAGCAATGTCAGCTGATGACTTTGTAGCATACAGAACCATTTGCCATTCTTAAGATAATGTGGCAAACCAAATCCAAATGCAGTGTGACTTGAAGAACATTCGGGTTTAGATTAATAAGTAACAAGTAATATTGCCTGCAATTTTGTAGCATGAATAACATCCCCAACAGGTGAGAATCTAGCCATCTCCACTTCATGTTCATCACATTATCTTCACTGAAACACCCTCTATCAACATCCTGGGATTACCTTTGACCGGAAGCTGAACTTGATCGGCCATAAAAATACTGTGGGTAGAAGAGCATGTCAGAGACAAGAAATTCTGTGGCAATTAAGTGACCACATAATTGTCCAAAAATTGTCCGTATTTTTAGACACCAGTCAAGCGTGTGATGGAATACTCTCCACTTGCTTGGATGAGTTTAATTCCAACAGCACTTGGGAAGCTGAACACCATCCAGGACAAAGCAGCCTGCTTGATTAGCATCCTGAACCCCCTTACATGTTTCCACCCTCTATTACTGACACACAATGGCAGCATTATGTGCCATCTGCAAGATGCACTGCAGCAACTTACCGTCTGTGAAAGCACCTCAACCATGGCCTGTACCATCTAGGAGGACAAATGCAGCCAATTACATGGAGAAAAACTTACAGGAAGTAGTGTTCCCATGTCTGACTACTATCTTGTACTATCTACATTGCATTGCAGAAAGTTGCTAAAAAGCCTTTGAGAGTACCTTCCACACCCATGACCACTTCCATCCAGAAGGACAAGGGCAGCAGATACATCGCAACACCGCCACCTGCAAACCACATATGTTTATGACTTTGAATAAACACTATCAATATATTTCCAACTGGGTCAAAATGCTGGAATTCCCTCCCTAATGGAATTGAGAGTCTAGCTACAGGACATGGACTGCAGCAGTTCCCTCCTTCTCAGGCCATTCGGGAAGGGCAATATATCCAGCCAGTGGCTCCCACGTCCCACAAGTGAATTATTAAAAAAAACCACCCGCTGTGCTGGCTTGAGACTATATTGCTGTTCCTTCATTTTAGCCGGGTCAAACTCCTGGGACTGCAGCAGTTAAAGTAGGTGGCCCACACCACCATCACAAGTGCAGTTAAGGATAAACAACAAATGCTAGACTTTGCCATATTATTCTTTCTTGGTGAAAGAGTGGGGAAAAGACAAACTGTTACTTCCTTCCTCTGTGGCTCGATGTTGTGTTTTGTTTAATAATGCATGTGTGTGACAGATTATTCACTGTCAATCATCTGATCTTTAGCATATGGTTGACAGAAAATCTAGTTCTTTTCAACCAAACATTACAATTTCAAACAAAAACTTCTGCCACGCTGTAAGTTAACACTGCAGAAAGAGGGAATATAATGAAAAGAATTATGCAATTCCAAAATGTAGATGGAGAGAAATATTTGAATTCTTATGAATAATAACTGAAGAAAGTTGGTTTTGAATTTTGAGTTTAAACTGCTTAGAAAATAGGTGATTATGGATAGCATTTTTACGTGAACTTGTTTTGGTGGTTTGGAGCAGTAATTTATCTGGCTTCATTAAAATAATTTGGGTTTTATGTTCGAATGCACGACTTGGAAACATGATTAAGTCAGAGCAATACAGTTTGTTGAAGTTACTGGCAGTTTTCAATTAGTGCTGGTATATTTGATTGAAGCTTCTTCTAGAGATTTCTATAATATTAACCCTTGATGTACTTCTCTTTTGAATGCATTTATTGAAGATTACTAGTGTTTTGAATATTCAGCCGTCTGAATAATCTTATTAAATGTCCCTTTAATTTATCTTCTATAATTTTAGTACAGCCACAACGGTATCCATCCTCATCTCACTGCACGAAGAATTGGGATAAACTCGTAATGGAAATTAAACAAGAGGAAAATGATGAGAAACCTGAGGGAGATGCTGCTCTAAACCAGCTCTTTCAGAAAATCTATGCTGATGGGTCTGATGAAGTGAAGCGTGCTATGAACAAGTCATTTGTAAGTATTAAAAGTATTATTTTTCTTGGGTGTTTATTTCTAATGTATTTGTATTGCATTATATATCAGTAAATAAAGCAAAAAGTGTAAAATAAAGGAATTTTCAACTTTGTTTTATCCTTGTTTAGAGTCATTAGACCCTGCAAAAATAAATAATTTTGAAGTAGTGAACGCCTGTGATTATTTGTTTATTTTTGATAAGGCAGCATGTATCACCAGTCCAACAATAGGGTCTACATGTCGGACTCGAAGCATTAATTCTGTTTCTCACTCCGCAGATGCTGCCAGCCCTGCCAAGTTTTCTAACATGTTCTGTTGCCACAACAGTAAGGCTTATCGTTTCAATGTTGGCAAATGCTGGCACTTGTAGGAACACTTATCAAAAAAAAACTGACGAACAATCTTGTTTTCTTTCCCCACATTTGAATAGAAATCATACACTAGCTCTGTCATCTTCTAACTAGTGCTCCCTGAAAATGCTGTTCCTTTGGAGGTTGCTTGATTTCACATTTTCTGTTAATAATTCAATATTGTATGCATGTGCAAAATCTATTTTGTAAGAACAAGGTATGAGTGCTGTAAATTATTTTTGTTTTTGCATGACACTGTTATAACTTAGTTCTCGTGGCTCATTATTGCATGCTCAATTTCCAGGTACAGATCTTTTTAGTTTCTATGAAATAACAATGGCTGTGCACCTCTATGCATTTTATTAGTATGGATTTCATTTACAAGAAATACTTTCATATTTCTAATCTGATTCAATTGCCATGTCTTCCGTGTTTCCCATTTAAACGTTTGTCTTCAATTTAAAGCTCTTTGTAATTCTTGTGCTGAAATGGGTTGTATAATGTTTATGTCTCCCAAAGGTAAATGGTCCTCTGCTTCTACTCCCTTTGTCTACTTGGTTACCCAAAATTAGGTCAAATTGTGGCTGTTTACTTTTTGGGATGCATAACCATTCTAAATACACTGTTTTTACAACAAACCTTTTCCATATGGCAGTTAACTTCTGATTACATTCTTAGGTTTAATGCTTACCCGTTCAGATTTTCATATTTGGTCAGTTCTTTTTCTATTGTCCAGTTATATTGATTGTTCATTACTGGAAGTGTATTATAAACCAATGACTTGCAATTCATCAACCCAATCCAGTGGTTTTCAAATTTGGATCACTTCTTTTTGTGCATCTAATATTTCCGGCTCTTGTTGCTACTTCTCCCACCCCCATCCTTCTTGAAGTGTTTGTACCTAGGAATGTGCAGTTGCAAGTTTTAAACTGGTTGCGTCAACTCTCGGTTGCAATATCATTGTGTTTAGTTAATGTGTCTGGTTCCTTTGTTTAATTTCATGCATCTAGTAATTTAATACCTATACTTTTCAGATTGAATGTCCTCATTTTTAACATGCTCCATTCTAATGTGTTTTGTTATCATTTGCTGCCTAACCTCTTTATTCTGCCTGACTACTAAAGGTTACTTTCCCTTCAAGCTGCCTACTTGATTGTTATCTTTGCCTATCTTTAGTTACCATAGTTTACAATAGTACCCCATTGTTCTGGTTCACCATCATTCATATATATTGATTTGGTCTCATTTTGTTTCAGTATAAATAAATTCATTGGTATAGCTTGCTGCTCCTTATAGCACTCAAACTGCTGAGGGTTTATTGTGGATGATATGTTGAACCATGTTTGCATCCTTAATCTGACTGTGCCTACACTGACAGGATATAGATCAGTTCTGAGGAAGGGTCACTCGACCGGAAACATTAACTCTGATTTCTGTGCACAGATGCTGCCACAGCTGCTGAGTTTTTCCAGCAATTTCTGTTCTTGCTTGATTTACAGCATCTGCAGTTCTTTGTTTGTATTTAGGATATAGATCATGCTGTTTCCTGCATGATTGCTTCTGTTAACCACACTTGTTTGGTTGATTCACCTTACTTGCCAAGTGCTTAGACATCTACATTTTTATGGTCTTTTTTGACACCCATGATGCCATATACCTTTGCTGAATATGAACCTAATGTTAAAAATCTTCTTTTCAAGGGCACTTGAGATTTTTCTTGAGGGCTACATTTTTAGCTTCAGGGTTTCTCTTTTTTCGTTTTTTCCACAGACTCCATGGCATTAAATGTGTTTCATCACATGCACAAAGCCATAATATTTCATCTGGGCTGTTACTACCCTTACTGTATTAAGATACTGACAATACACAAAGGTGCCAGATGTATCAAGTCTAACTTTTTGGAAGAGCTAATGAACTCACTGTTGTAAAATAGCTTAACAGAGACTACTGTTAATTGCAACATAGTACATATAATGACCCAATAACTATATAGGTTGGTTGAGAAAGATTTTAAAAATGTAAAGGGGGTGTCAATTCACTGAACCAGTAGAATTTTATGTAAGCTTTTAAAAATGGCATACGCCTAGATTTTATTAATCAGAATCAGTGGGAGGTACATGCTACCTGACTCCCAATGTCTCTTCCCCCACCCACCTCCACCACCACCACAACCCTGGCCACACGTGCCCGCGCACTCTCTCCTTCTCATGCTGTCTCACAGAAACCACACTTCCCAATCCTTTACATGCTCAAAGACCTGAATGGCTTATTCCTGTTCCATTGTGTTCCATTGTGCTCCAATGAAAGGCTGCATGTTTTCTGCAGATAGTCTCAACTGCATATCACTAAGCGTATCAGAAAGCATGGCCGGAAACAGCCTGAGGTTGGAAAAGCAGCTGCTGAAAGATTCTGTTTCTCTGGAGTATGGGTGCAACCTTTCTTGGGATGACATTGAGTAAGTTTCTTGGGGCTTCTGAGGGCCACCTCACCCGCAGACCCCATGTACTATGAGCATTGATATTTGAGTTTAGAGCAATCAATTACTTTTTTCAATTATTTACTTTGCCACCGTCACTGAATTCTTTTTTTGAGTCTGACTTCACACTCCAGTAGCAGTCAGCTCCTTAAAGCTATCTTGGTACACTTGGAGTAAACATCTTTTTGCGGTAATAGCCTCAGAAAGCATCTTAAGTTCCTTCCTTTTTCTTTCTCCCACCAGCATGGCAGTGGTAATCCATTTATAATGTTTGCCCTTTCATTTTCCAAAATTGTTTCTTGACTGGTATTTGCACATACAAGCAGTTTCTGCATTGCGCATGGGTTCCATTCTGGAATCCATTTACAAGTTGATTTGTATGCAAGTCGGAACACATTGCAGGATACTGTAGAGGAGTCTTTCATAAGTACTGGGAGTGTTCATGTCAGGTTTGTGCAATTGCACCTCTGTACGAGATTGTGTGCCTAAGTTGGAAGTCCATAAATGGGGGACTGATTGAAATGGAGGCGTATCTACTAACGTTCTTCAATTCAATAAATTTGAGTTGTGACTGAATGTAGCCAGAGTATTTCCTGTAGTGCTGTAGTACAATTTCCTGTAGTACAATTCAGGAACTTTGCCATGCAGCAAGATTTGGACAGTATAGATTGTAACTGTTCTGCACTTCAATCAATTTTTAACTTTGCTACTTGTACAGTACAAAATATACTCTTATCACAGCGTACAAGTCTAAATCATCAACAGAAATTTGGATTATGACAAGTATGATTATTTTGGGCTAACAACTAAGTTTCATGTTTTTAAATGTCTTTTTGCAGACTGAATCTGGAGGCACGGTTCTGAGCACAAATTGGTCTGAGGTGGGCAAAAAAACAGTGGCTGTGAATCCTCCAGATGACATGGAATGGAAGAAACTTTAGTATAAATTTAGTACTGTGTTTTCCATCACAAATTCAACTGTAAAAGCAGCTTATGAACTTTTTCTTCTGTTCCAACTGATTATGTACTAGACTATGCCTTAGCCTTGGGTAACCTTTTGCATGGATTTGATGCATTCTTTTGTCTGACATCTAATGTTCAGATATTTTCCCCAATTTAACATTTTAATTTTCAAGTGTCAGCAGTTTCCACCCATGAAATAAATTGGTATCCATACATATATGGTGGTGTTTCATGTGTGAGTAGTTTGATTTCAATCCTTGTTTGCATATCCATTAATTTCACCCACTTAATTATTCGTTGTCATGTTGATTTAAAAAAAATCATACAAACATGCTATATCTAATATGCTTTTATTTCTACTCATGAAGCAGACTACCATATATTGAAATGACATCATGAAATATTTGGTACCATTTTTAAGGAGGAATGCTTTCTGAACCAATGAAGGGTAATTAAACAATATAAAATGTCAGAACAAGGTCAGTTTTTTTCTTACTGCAGGTAAATATTCCTGTTATGCTATTTAGGGTTGGTTTTTGTTAAATTAAACTTTTTGCTTTGGTTGCTCATCCCTTCAGTTTCATCATTGAACAGTTGTAAATGCAATGTCTATTCATTCACTGTTGTTTTGGTGTTTTTTCAAGTGTTCACTTGTGCCTAAGTTTGAGATCTTTACAGTAGCTTCTAGTCACGGATATCTATAATCAATCAGTTCGGATGTCTTGCACTGCATCTCTGGACCAAGCCTTTGCCCCAGAAATAAGGATACTACCACTGAGCCATAAGAGCCCCTCAGCTCAGCTACATAATATCTCAGACATGAACAGGTTACTTTAAAAAATGTTATTTTGATGCATATGGAGCAGGTGGGATTTGAACCCAGTCCTTCTGGCTCAGAGGAACATTGCTGCTGCATCAAGCAACCTTTGGGATCTATTCATGTAATAATATAGTAATTTATTTAATGTTACTGTTTGCCATACATTCTGATGTCAGTCAGAAGAGGAGCATTGGAATTTGAAAAAAATGCTTCTGAAATAAGAAAAGTTTAGGAAATGCTGTATTCTCTGCTTGAATTAAGATCCTGCAAATTACTTGGGTATTTATTCAGATCTAACTATCCATTCAGTTGTTTTGTGTGAGGGAGAGGGTGTTTAGCAAAGATTCTATGAAGTTAATAATTGGCATGCCTGACCTCCTATTTTGTCATTGACTGAACAAGGGTGGAAATCATTCAGTAGTCATCAACTGTGCATTTTTATTAGAGAATTTTAAGCTGCTTGTCTTTGAAATTTGTTGAAAATTGGACTTGAAATATGAAGGATCCTCTCTTAACTCTGTTGTATGTGTTTGAGAAATCCAGGGTTTTGGGGGCACCAGACAATGGACCTCTATCAAGACACTTGAGCCAAATCATGATTTTGATTCGAAAGTCCATTTATATTGTTAGGACACGGAGACAGATAGCTGAGCCAAATGAGCCTTTCTACCTCTAAAATTAAATTGTGAAGACCCCCGATAATTCCTGTAATGGTTCCTAACCAGACTTTGAATGACCAGCTCCAATGATTTTAGTGAATAATTCCTGACACTGGTTTTGTATCTTAAACGAAAGACTTAATGATTTATTATTCAGTAACTTCAGAAAAATTAAACAACAAGATAATCTAGCTAATATCTGTGCTTTAAACCTAAAACATCTGTTTTTAGCCCTGATTCACACAAAGGACATACAAACAAATAGTTAAGGGTTTGGTAAAAGAAAATAACAAAACAGGCCAGATTATTAAAATGGCTTTCCTGATGTATTGTTTCGCAGACATACATGTGGTTCTTGGTTCTTTCCAGATTGCCAGAACCACTTCTCAGGGTACTGACCTCATTAATAGCTATCTTCTATCTGTTTGAACAGAATGCTCTTCCCGGGTCACTGAGTCTGCAGGAACCTTTTTGATCAAGACTCAGTCTGGAATTCACCTCCCAGTCTGGCCTCATTAACAAAAAAAGATTGTTTGGTCTGTTCCTTCCCTTTTACCACAAGCTGTTTCAAAAAATTACAAAGGCCATCTTTAGCTCACGACCGACCTTGATAAAAGAATAAAAATAATGAAAAATCAGTGAGGATTCTAACAATATCCCACCTTGTCTATGATAACTCAGTAGAATCTTGCTCTAAGGGGAAAAAAAACTATTATCATACCTAGAACAAAAATGTAGGCCGTAAAACCAAGACTAGATAGAAAATTTTACTGGACACCTGTTAGAGAGGCTTGTCTATATCAAATATGATTCAATCCTAACCCAAGCGTTTGAAACGTTTTAAAGTTGAAACCAATTAAACTGAAAGCTGTGGCAAAATCCCCAACCAATTTCAAGAATTTTTAAGCAATAACTTGATGTCTTCTATAAAACTCTGTAGAGATTTCAAGTTTCTTTAGAAGAAGTTCAGAAGCCACTGTTGGAGAAGAAACATTTTTTCCATCCTGATAAGATAGTACTTTCTCTCATGAAGTCATATGAGATGATTTTAAAATACTTAGTCTTTGATAGAGACTAATTCCTCAGGGAATTCAACTAAATATGTTTGCAAGAGTTGGGTCCAGCAGAAATTCCATGGCAATACCATTAGTTTGGGCATACGTGGTGTCAGTAAAACAACTTCAATGATCTAATTGTTGAACGTAGAACAGGACAGCACAGTACAGGCCCTTCGGCCCATGATGTTGTGCCAACCTATTACCTGCTCTTAAGATCAAACTACCCTGCATACCCTACATTTTACTATCATCCATATGTCTATCCAAGAGTCGTTTAAATGTCCCTAATGTATCTGTCTACTAGCACTGCTGGCTAGTAAAGAACCTACCTCTGACATCTCCCCTGTACCTTCCTCCAATCACCTTAAAATTATGCCCCCATGGCAATAGTCATTTCCGCCCTGGGAGAAAGTCTCTGACTATCCATTCTATCTATGCCTCTCATCATTTTGTACACCTCTATCAAGTCACCTCTCATTCATTCTTCTTCACTCCAATGAGAAAATCCCCAGCTCCCTCAACCTTCCCTCATAAGACCTGCCCTCCAGTCCAGGCGGCATCCTGGTACATCTCCTCTGCACCCTCTCTAAAGTTTCCACATCTTTCCTATAATGAGGCGACTAGAAGTGAACGCAATATTCCAAGTGTGGTCTAACCAAGGCTCTATAGAGCTGCAGCATAATCTAGCGGCGCTTAAACTCAATTCCCCTGTCCATGAAAACCAACACACCATATGCCTTCTTAACAACCCAATCAACTTGGGTAGCAACTTTGAGGAATCTATGGACATGGCCCCCACGATCCCTCTGTTCCTCCACACTGCCAAGAATCTTGCCATTAACCCTGTATTCTGCATTCAAATTCGGCCTTCCAAAATGAATCACTTCACACTTTTCCAGGTTGAATTCCATCTGCCGCTTCTTTGCCCAGCTCTGCATCCTGTCAATGTCCCGTTGCAACTTACAACAGCCCTCCACGCTATCCACAACTCCACTAACCTTCGTGTCATTGGCAAACTTACTAACCCACCCTTCCACTTCCTCATCCAAGTCATTTGTGAAGATCACAAAGAGCAGACGTGCCAGGACAGATCCCTGCGGAACACCACTGGTCACCGAGTTCCAGGCTGGATGCTTTCCATCTACTATCACCCCCTGTCTTCTATTGGACAGCTAGTTTTGTATCCAGACAGCCACATTTCCCTGAATCCCATGCCTCCTTACTTTCAGAGTGAGCCTACCAAATGGGAACCTTATCAAATGCCTTGCTAAAATCCATATACACCACATCCACTGTTCTGCCTTCATCAGTGTGTTTTGTCATATCCTCAAAGAATTCAGTAAGTCTTGAGGCATGACCTGCACCCCTCAGTCATGCTGACCATTTCTAATCAAACTGTGCTTTTCCAAATAATCATAAATACTATTTCTCAATCCTCTCCAATAATTTGCTCACCACAGATGTAAGACTGGTCTGTAATTCCCAGGATTATCCCTACTCCCTTTCTTGAACAAGGGAATAACATTTGCCACCCTCCAATCATCTGGTACTACTACAGTTGACAGTGAGGACACAAAGATCATCACCAAAGGTGCAGCAATCTCTTCCCGTATCAGCCTTGGGTATATCCCGTCTGGCCCAGGGGACTTGGCTATGCTCATGTTTTTCAAAACTTCTAGCACATTTTCCTTCCTAACATCTACCTGTTTGAGCATATCAGTCTGTTTCACGCTATCCTCACAAACGTCAAGGTCTTTCTCAGTGGTGAATACTGAAGCAATGTATTCATTAAGGGCCTTTCCTATCTCCTCCAACTCTGTGCACATGCTCCCTCCACTATCCGTGATTCGGCCCTACCCTCACTCTGGCCATACTCTTTTAACTCGCTTAAATATGCCTTGGGGTTTTCCTTAATCCTACCTACCAAGGCTTTTTCATACCCTCTTCTAGCTCTCCTAAGTCCATTCTTTAGTTCCTTCCTGGCTACCTTCTAGCCCTCTTGAGCCCTGTCCGATCCTTGTCTCCTCAACCTTAAGTAAGCTTCCTTCTTCCTCTTGACTAAATGTTCCACGTTTCTTGTCATCCAAGATTCCTTCACCTTACCATCCCTTCCCTGTCTCAGTGGAATAAACCTATCCAGTATACGTAACAAGTGCTCCCTAAACAGCTTCCACATTGAGTTAATAAGTTCTACATATACTGATTCACACTTGTGGCAGGTCCATATATGTATGCGCACACACTATGGTGTATGTACCACTGCAGTGCGGATACCTCTGTTTCCTTCAGTGGTATATTGGTGAATAGGCTAGTAGTCTCAATGAGCACATGGGTAATGTTTTGTTTTCAACTTGCAAGCCCTCTATCATCTGTGCAAATACGATAGTATTATTCACCAAGTAAGTGGGAAAACCTGCCTAAAACCACTCATCATAATTCACCTAGCTTTGGACCAGTTCTGATTATAATTTTGTTTGAAGTGACATCATTTTCTGTGTCCTGAGCATAGGGTAAAACCTTGTTTATCTAACATTTTGCTGTTCTTACAAGTCCAGCATGCACTTCATGTTTAATGTTTTCAGTTTTGTGTTTAAAATTGAACAGTCAGATGAGTACGCTTTACTTGATGCCCTAGTTGACAAATTAGTTAGCAGGTTCTGTACTTTGGTATGCTATAAGT